CACACTAAAACAGGTAGCATTTGGCCTGCAGGTTATAGTTTAATCTGCCACTGCTCTGAAGGATTTCCTAAAGTCAATGATGCTGGGGCTCTGCGGGAAGGGGAAGGGGTAAAAGGTAAAAGTAGGGGAGCAGCCTTGTATTGCCAGAACCACCCTGCTGTACACTAGGCATGTTTTGTGTGTATCAACTCTCTGCTATGGGGACCCGGCTAAGAATTGCAGTGTTCTACTGTTTCTAGCATAACAGGCGTAAGTTGCTTCTACCACTGTCACCAAAGCACAGAGGCTAGCTATACTTAGTCACTGGAAGTTCTGAATTTGTATCTAACCTGCACAGTTAACTGGAGTCCCAAGGGATAAGAAATTTGCCAAGGCCCTAGATGCTGGGAAGGAAGCTGAGGTCTGGATATCAGGCCTACCAAAGGGTCAGGCCACCACCTTAGCCCAGAAAAGGGATGAGGTGACAATGACTTCTGCAATCCCCAGGTCAGATCTGTCCTGGGAACTACAAGCACCAGGCTTGGGGGTGGAGGGACACAGGCCTCCAGCTCTGGGGAGAAGATAAGTCCTATGTACGCTATGAGGAGTCTACAGTAAGATAAATCTCTTGTAGCCCAGGCTGGCTTTGAACTACCTGTGTAGCTCAGGATGACTTCGAATTTCTTTTTAAACAGAGTCTCACTGTGTAATCCAGGCTGGCTTAGAACTCACAGATATCTGCCTGCCTCTGCCTCCAGAGTACTGGGATTAAAGACATGCACCACCACACTCAGCTATGAGCTTGAATTTCTAATATTCCTGCCTCTACCTCCAGATTGCTGGGATTATAAACGCATGCACCTCCACACCTAGTTTATTTGGTACTGGGTTCAAATTCAAGGCTTGTGCATTCTAGACAAATGCTCTACGAAGTTACAAGCCTAGCCCTAAGTAACTACCAAATTCCTTTTATCTGCCAAACGCTGTTCCAGGCACAGTACTGGCCAGCACAGAATAGCGGTGAACAAGACAAAAATCCCTGTCCTAAAAGAGTTACATTCTAGTGAAAAGAGAGTTATATGCTAAATAAAATACATGGAATAATCCATATTCAAAGTGGAGAGGTGCAAAGGGGGAACACTAGGAAATGGCACAGAACCATCGGGCAAAGGGCTTAGAAGACTGCACAGAGAAGGTAATATTTAAAGCAAATACTTAAAGGAGACAAGCACACAAGATTTCTGGGTGTCTGGGGGCAAAGAAACCTCTCCAAGTGAATGCAATGGTAGTTGCTAAGGCCCTAGGGTAGGGACTGGATATGGGAAGAAACAGCAAAAAAGCCAGTCTGGAAAGAGAAGGCACCTGGGATGGAGCAGTACTTGGGGTGTTGTATGAGTTGCAGACCACCCCAAACCTTGTAGATGGTGATCTGTGGAGGATCTTTGGCAGAGGAGGTTTGCATCTCAGTCTCTTTTGCTGCTGAAACAGAATGCCGCCAACTGAGTAATTTAGAAACAATAGAAGCTCACTGGGCTCATGGTCCTGGCTGCAAAGTCCAAGATAAAGAGCTGTATCCCAGGAAAGCATCTGGCTGAGTCCTTACTCGGTGAAGACACAGCAGGGCAACATAGGGAGAGAGGGGACAAGGGATGAGTGCGGCTGAACACTCCTCCAGTCCCTTCAGTTACAGTATCCCTTCAGTTACAGCATCAGAAGGGAAGAGCTCTCATTATCTAATCACTTCTTAAAGGGTCTACCTCTTAATCCCACAATGACAGGAGTTTTGGAGGGACATTCCAATCAGAGCAGCACTGTGCCATTGTTTGTTGTTGTATTAAAAGATCACTGAAGCCAATGATCCAACATTACTCTGAGAAACTCACAGTTACCTGGGATTGAATTTTTGACATCTGTCTTGCAATGACAGTGAATGTCTCAGTGTCTAGTCAAGAGCTCAGACCTTCCTTTGTCTATTCAACAAACTTGACTGAGCCAGACACTCAGCAAGACTCTGACAGCAGCTGGAACACTATCATGGAATGAAGTGAGCAAGGGAGACAGATCACTAGCAGTTGATGGTTCAACGGTTAACAGCACTGGCTGCTCTTGCAGAGGATCCAGGTATGATTCCTAGCACTCACATGGTAGCTAACAACTGTCCATAAGTCCAGTTCCAGGGGATCCGACACCCTCTTCTGACCTCTGTAGGCATTGCATGACATGGGCGCCCTTACACACATGCAAGCAATACACTCATACGCATAAAATAAAAACTAAAAACCTTTTTATAAAAAATAAATGGGGTGTCCTAAAGTGACTGTCGTTGAACTTCAGTCACAAAAGTCAAGTATTTGATGCATTCCTTCAGAATATTCCACTTCAGAGTGAAACATTTTTTTTTAATGTTTTATTATTTTTATTTTTTATGTGTATGCATGTATTGCCTGCATGTAGGCAAGTGCACCCGTGTCGTGCAATGCCCACAGAGGTCAGAAGAGGCTGTCAGATCCCCTGGGACTGGAGTTACAGACAGTTGTTAGCTGCCATGTGGGTGCTGGGATTCGAACCCAGGTCTTCTGCAAGAACAACCAGTGTTCTTAATCACTGAGCCATCTCTCCAGCCCCTTGATTTAAAAAGAAAAAGAAAAAGAAACCAAGGGAAATTTTGTCACCAAAAACTTGCAGTACTCAAAAAAATTAATAATAATGAAGCAATTCTTTGTCAAAAATCAAACTCCAGTGCCAACATGGTGGCACTTGCCTTTAGTCCCAGCACTCAGGAGGCAGAGGCAGGCAGATTTCTATGAGTTACATAGAAATCTGACCTACATAGCAAGTTCCAGGCCAGCTGGGGCTACAGAGAGATCCTGTCTCAAAAAAAAAAAAAAAAAAAAAAAAAAAAAATCAAACTCCAGTAAACTCATCTTTCCTATGCTTATAGTTTGTATATTGGTATGCAAATGATCTTGTAATTTTGATAACACTGAGAAATGTTTTTAGAAAGCATTCTTTTAATTTTTTTTTTTTTTTTTTTTTTTTTTTTTTTTTTTTTTTTTTTTTATAGCCCCAGCTCTTTTTGAGACAGGGTCTCCCTGTAGCCCCAGCTATCCTGGAACTCACTATGTAGACCAGGCTGGCCTCAAACTCACAACGATCCGTTTTTAAGAGGGGTGTCTCACAGTGCACATGTAGAAGCCGGAGGACAACTGGCAAAAGTCAGTTCTCTCCTTCCACCATGTGGTTTCCAGGGATCAAATGTAGGCTGGTAGCCTTCGCAGCAAGCTTCTTTACCTGCTAAGCCATCTCGCCAGCACTTTTATAATTTATGAGCATATATTCACTATACATAATAATGGGCTTCCTTATGACATTTTCATACATATATATGGTGCTTGATCATATTCAACACCCCCATTATCCTTTCTTGTCCCCTTCTTACTCCCACTGATCTTTTCTTCCCAACCTTTTCCTGTAACCCAAACCTAACAGTCCCCTTTCAGTTTTCATGACTTGTGTATGAATGAGAGACAGACAGACAGAATTTAATTAGGGTTGCATATAGCATCATGGGGGCTGTTTACAGGAGCATAGAAAATGTACGAATGGCTACACCACTGATAAAAATGTCTCTCGCTCTCTCAACAGCTGTTAACTGCCAGTACATCCTCAGGGGAGTGATGGGACTGAGTGGCTCCCTGTTCTGAGAGGGAAGGCTGGTAGGGCCAATCACGTGCAGGTAATTACAACTGAATGTTGAGAAACTGTTAGGCAGAGCCTCTAAAGAGGTTTTGCTATGTAACAACAACAAAAAAAGAAGAAACATGAAAAAAATTAGAGAAAGGCAAAAATTAGAGATGAATGGCTTAAATCAGGTCTGTTATCAAAAAGCCATCTCAGCAGACTCCAAAGACCAAATCCTCTTTGGTTAATGTAGTTCTGCTCTATCACATATTCCATGAAAGTGGGTCACTGGTGACAGTCAAAAACTATTTTTTTTTATTTTTGAGGTATTTTTTTTCTTTCTTAATATGTGGCAGTTTGTCCCATATGACTTTTTAAGGCTGGATTTTTAAGTCAAGCCAACACTCTTGATCTGATGGAATGCATCAGATACATTTGTTTGAAAGCCTGCCTTCCAAGCAATTTCCAAATTTAATAAAGAAGACTAGATTTAACCATTGTTCTGCCCCTTCACTCCTCCCTGCTAAGCATCTTAAGGCAGAAGAGGAGCCTGCAGAAAGGTTGTTTTGTTTAGGGTTTTTTAAGCCTGAGAAACTGGGACTTCCCTGCATTTCAAAGCACAAAGGTCTATTCTTCAAGGCAAGGGGCCAGAGAGGCAGAGTAATTCAATTTTGTAGGCCACCGTGTACCTCTTCCTTTCTCCGACCAAATCAAGGCTCACACCAATGGAAGCAGACCTCAACAGGGCAGTCTTCAGTGAAAAAGAAAAAGTGAAAGCAGTCGAGGAAAAAGAAAGGGGCCAGCCAGAAGCCGCCCTCTTTCCAAAAGCCTGGGGAACGCTCATTATATTTGAATACAGCGCATGAAAAGGGCCTTTGCTGAGCAGCCTTGGTGGGGCCATGGCTCCATTCCCATTGTAAATTCCATCTGTGTGCTATCACTTCCTGACCCAGAAACAGGGAAATTCTTCAACCACACATTTCCCCAGGAGATTTGCCAGGCTACAAAATCGTTCCTTCTGAGGTTCACCAGCTCCTTGGAGATTTGGTATAGCTTTAAGATCATGTTTGCCTATAATTAATTCCTTCTCGGCATTTATTTACTAAAGGGTCTTTTCTTCATCTCCCTAATTTCCTTCCAGAATCTGCAACCTCAATGAAATGAAATGAAGTTGGAATCATGAGGAAAATGCTGAGGGAAGTCGGAAGCTCCCCTGGCTAAAGAGGAGAAGCTGAAGCCTGTCAAATGTCAGAAGAAACTTGACCATGTTTGAGTCTAAGAATAAGTCTGAGAAACTGAGTGTAAATAAGAAAATGGAAATAGTGTAGAACAGTGGTTCTCAAACTCCAGCATGTTCTGGGAAGACTTGGAAGACTTTTGATTTAGTAATTCTGAGATGGGGCCTGAGAATGTGCATTCCTAACAAGTGCCCAAGGAGGCAGCTTCTGTACTCCAGGGACAACTTTGTGAGAGCCATTGATGCAGGGAGGGCTATTCCAGGCCTCATACCTCAAGCAAGACATGAGCTATAGTCAAAGTGTTAAGGTAGCAAAAAGCCCCGTAAGATTAACTGGTCAAGAGAATAACAATCTCTGGTATCTCTAGTTTGGATTAAAGATGTAACATTCCAGTTTCACTGGTCAATCACCTGGTCATAGGACCATTCCCTCACAAGGCAGATAAGTCTTGAGAAAGATAGGTAGAATACCTAGTGCATTAATAAGATGGTGACCTTTTCCTGCCCCAATCCCTGCTTTCTAGTGCAGTTCTTATGGACCTAGTTACAGAGATGAGGTTTCCATAAGTCTTACGTCAGAAAAGCATACGCTCTCCTTTTCTTCTTTATACCTGTTTTCTAACCATGGTTTCCCTAATGACGCTGGACTGCTGCAATGTTTTGGGTTTCTCTACCTTTTTCTCTACAACTCCCTTCCCCTCCCCACTATGTGGCTGCTTGCCTGCCATGTGTCTGACCTCCACATAGGCTCTAAACCAGCACGGCTTTATGGCTTTTTTTCCTTCTCCCCTTCTTCCCCTCCTCAAGGCAGGTGTTAAGATTTACAGCTTGCCTGCCCTAAAGATTATTCCTTAAATTCTTATAAAACTTCCATTTGAGCCCTTTTTTAATTCTTTACAAATGAGACTACTGACCCTCTAGGGGATGCTATTTCTCCCTTGTATCAAAAGTCTCGACAACACCTGATTCATATTCTGTAAATATCTCATGTTACCTACCTACAGATGGTCTAAGTCCTTTATGTGGGTACTGGTTATGATTCTCAATCTATCACACAGGCACAGTATAATATTTGGATATAAAATAGAACATTTGTGCAACTCCATTTTTAGCCTATATCTAAACAGGGTGGCTAAATTGAAGTCTTCCCTGTACTTTGCAGGAGTACCTCTAGGTTCTGGGTATTTGTGAAAAAGTATGGAGGCTGGATTGGGTACCTTCTGACCCCTGCTGTTGTCTATCCACTGCCAATAGTCAGTTGAAATTATCATCACTGT